TATAGCTATTATTGCTATATTGCTATTATTATAGCAATATAATACATTGTATTATTATAACATATTATATTATTATAGCTATATTATTGTAGCTATTATTGCAACAATAATAATAATTAATTATATACGTCCTCATGTCAGCCCACAGACAGGTTCGTGTTTCCGAAGACCCGGTCCCCTCTGAGCACACCGTCACCACATCTCTCCCCGAAAGAGCGTTTCCTAGACCTCTTTCTGTAGGAGCTCTGACTTACGGGACGAGAAAGAGGAACACGAAATACAGGCGCTGAAGACTTAAGAAATACGGCACCCGAGCTGCAGAACGGGCGGATAAACACCGAAAAACCGCGTTTCCCGCATTCTCTGCTGAACCTGCACGGCTTGTAGATATTTTATCATTCTCAATATAATACAACCCGTATTATCAGTAGTCTAGCGGTTGCTGTTGCTTTGATGAAGCGCTGTTCTATGTCCCTGCGCTCCAGATGCGCACTAAAGTTCGCCAGCGCTCCGGCTGTCGTTAAATTAACCTCCATGATTTTCAATATGTAACTTTCTCAGAGTAGCCAGCGTGTCTTTGTGTGGTCAAGGGTGGTTTACGGCCTGGGAAAACGTTCAGGACCGTAAATGACCAGCTCAGGACGTCTGGTCGGAGCGCAGTAACGAATCTTTTTCTCCTACGGACGGTCACCCTTCACGCAGTGAGGCTGTGCGGGTGGACACGGGGCATCATCGCGCTCCTGCGCACTCCGCGCTCAAAGCAAACAGGGCTTGGTCTAGAAACAGGCAACTAGTATGTACTGCAACACAGGGCAGAATTGCGCTCCAATTTTCCTTTTAAGAAAAGGTTTGCAGTCCAATAAAGTAGTGAAGGTACAGCACTCCCATAAGGAGCGCGCTCTCCTGTGTTGGATGTTCTTTTGTTATTTTACTTGATTGCATAGTCCCCGCCCAGCAGAGTTTGAACCCTTTGGTGTATAATGTAGCTACTGTAGCTCACCTGGGGGGTTTGCGGGCTCTCTATGTGAGAGGTAATATCCTGGCCAGTATCGGCGTCTGACGGTATGTGCGTGTTCCCCTTCTCCTGCAGCTCTGTGCGCGATCTTTACTAACGGTGAACGGAGAGTATGTGTCTGGATCGGGTCTGCAGGGAAACAGGGTCCGACTCTTAAAACTTAAAAGCCGGGAAGGATTGCTCTCTGTCCCAGCTTTCCCCCCGGCTGAGCTTGATTATAAACTGCTGTCAATGTGCCTAGTTTTCCGCAGTTTGTATGGACCTGTTTTACTCTCGAATTACCATGAGCTCGTTGGATTTATTCTGCTTTTTCCGCGGTTTCGCTAGGCTTTACTGCACTGGGCTTTACCACACTGGACTGTGCTTCTTTCCTGATCTCACTGGGCTTTACTGGACTGGACTGTCCTATACCCTGATCTCTCTGGGCTTTCCTGCACTGGACTGTGCTTTTAGCCTGATCACACTGGGCTTTACTACACTGGACTGTGCTTCTACCCTGATCTCACTGGGCTTTACTGTACTGGACCATACTTTTACCCCGATGTTACTAAGCTATTACTGCACTGCACTATGCATTTACCGTGATCTCACTCAGCTTTACTGCACTGCACTTTTACCCTGATCTCACTGGGCTATACTGCACTGGACTGTTTGTCAGCCAGGGGGTTGTGTTTGTCACACCAAGACTAACAAACGTGTAGAGGCTGGTTTCATATATGTGCAGAAGGGGGAGGGTGTTAGTAGTGGTTTCAAGAGTTCAGACATCTGCCCCAGAGGACCCCCTCCCTCCCTCAGAATCTGCTGTACCCCTGCGTGTAATTTCAGGGCACAGCAAGCGAGACGTCTGACAGATAATGTCTCCTATTCAGTTTATCGCTCTGTGAGGGGTCTTGTAAGTCTGCTATGATTACAACTGAACGATCCCAGCCATCCTTTTAGAAGCTGATACCCTGGGGTCCATCAGGAAACTGGGACAAGGGATGCTGGGAATTACTTCCGACCCAATCAGTTCAGATAGCCGAATGACCTCCTCTGGTTTGAGCTCTTTCATTTGCTCAGGAAGAACTGGATTTCAGTTTCAGTTCCTCAGTCATGTTGTGAACTGATCTCTCTTGTCATGTGAGTTAATGAGCAATGTGGATTTGCATATTCGGTTGAAGTTAATGAGAAGCAAGCATTCCGCTGTTATGAAATAATCCTCATCCTAATCTCTTACATCAGACAACATTTATAATAAAAATAAATAAATCACTCGCCTGACAGCAAGGCCTTAATTAATGCAAATCTGTCAAGGAAGCTACCGAAAATTAAAAGAAAACTAAAAAATGAGGAATTGTATCTCAACCAACAAAACACTTGGATGCGACAAGGAGGAAAGCAGATTTTGTGTTTAACCTCTCCGACACCATATGGAGATATCTGTGCTAAAGCTCTGCGTTTAATGCCTGCTCAGTGTAAGCATGCACTGCCGATAGAGACTTCCTGCATAGCTGAGCCTGCAGGAAGTGGTCATTCCTGCAGGAGAAGCACAATTGCTGCACCCACCAGCTTGTCTAGGAACCACATCTGTCCAACTGCAGGTGCCAAAAGGTGTCTTTTAACACTTTTCTGACGCAGAAGTGATTATCTCGGTCTGCCATGATCAAAAGGCTGTCCCGAGCCCTTCCAGTGAGTCTCCTATTTATGCTGAGCATCAATAGAAACGTATTATTAAGTTTTTGCAGAAAAATGATGTTTACGGATTTTAGATATTAATTAAATGTTTTTTTGGCAGTTTGATGAATTAATCATTCCTGACTGAGCGTGATACACTGGAGAGACGTCTTCTCATGAACACTAAATCACCTCTTTAGTGAGAGCTTTTTGGGCACAGGCAGTGTGCTGAGCTAACCTTCTGGATGTCATTCAATAAAAACAGAATGGCACCAAAATGCCCCACTTTCAACAGAGCACGGCCTTCACACCATCGGTACTGCTGCAGGCTGTAATAAACCAGCACGCTGTCTCTCACTCTCGGGCACGTCAGCCTGGCAAGACATAACAGCCGAACGCTGTCCGTCAATGACTGCACACCAGTCACTGCTGCTCATCAAGGTCATCGAGGAGGTCCAAGTTCTGGCCAGGCGTGTCTACAGACCTCCAGTTGCAGTAATTGATGGCAATCAGACAGCACACCACCTTGATCAAGTCCTGGGACCTCATGTCATGTGAGCTCTTCCTGACGTGACCTCACTTCCTGTGGGCTCATCCTGAAGTGTCAACACCCCAGCAGGACGACATGCTCCTCCTCGTGTGGCGGATGAGATGTGAATGTGAGAGTTCTGCCATGGACGCTCTCCTCACCACAACTGAAAATTACCAAACAGTTGTGGGATGAGCTGGGATGATTTGTGCCGTCTAGGGATGAGAGACCAGTGAACAGGCCCGTGCTTGTCCAGGCTGTACAAGAGGACTGGGACAGTCAGTTAGGATTCTCTTAGTCCTAAAAAACTAATTGGCTATAACTATGTGTTTTGCTTACCTGTGCATAGATTTTCTGGGGTATTCTCATATCAGGACTGCACAGTTCTCTTGATCTTTCTGTGCTTTGGCACTGGCAGGGAGAGGTGAGCATTTCTGTGGCAAGTAATGCAAACAGTGAAGATCGAGTGATTGATGCTCAAGGTGTAGGATCGGAGCTGGACTGGGAAGCAGCCTCCTCAACAACACCCCTGCTCTGGTCTCCACTTTGCGGACTTTGGCGATCCAACCCGCTGTCAAAACATGTACTGCTCAGCTCTCACCTCTCTTTCCCCCAGTTTTGTGGGGGTTTGGAACATGAATATGAGCTTGCCACCACATCCCAGAAGTGGCAGGTTTTTTGTGTCATTTGTTAATAAGAAAATTCTGGTGTGTTTTTGTATTTTTGGCGTCGTTTGAAGTCATTGCAAGAGGAGCTGCAGTCAAGAAATTCGTTTTTACCTCTGGGTAACAGTTTGAGACCAGAAAAGTGAGTCACACCATATTTTCTATTCAAAGCACAATGGTTTGGGTGAAAATCTCCTGGGGCTGCTCACATTCCGTTCTTTTGCAGTTCTCTGTCACAGGGGACCTGCAAACCCTAATCTCTGGTTTTTATCAGGGAAGAGAAAGCTCACGCGTCGCACGCTCAAAGAGGCGTCGTTTCAAGAATGAAAAGAAACAAAGGCTCTTTTGTGTTTGCAAAGTGCCAATTAGCTCGTGAAAAATAGCTCTCTGCTGTGTCCGAAAGCAGGGTGAAAATGACGTTACGGCTTTAAACCAAACGAGAATTTCAAGGTACAGAAAACAAGTGTCCTTTTTTGCCAGGTATACTGTGTCTTCTCCCTAGAAACAGAAGACTCAGGGGAGCAGGGGTTACTGGAGAAGGGGTACAGTTAGAGGTACCCATTGGCATCAGGGTCATGGTTAGGGGACAAGGTAAGGTTTAGCAGTAGTACTGTAGTTTAGGATTGAAGTTAGGGTCAGCGTCAGGATCAAGGTTAGGGGACAAGATACGATTTTACACTAATCTTAATCCCTAAACCAGCCCTTATTCTAACCACAACCCTAACCCCAATTCCAATCCTGATTTTACCCTAACCCCAACGCCAACACCAACCCCAGATCCCAATTCTAGCCCTGACCGTACGCTAACCACAAAACCATCCACACCCCCAACCCCATTTCCAATCCCAAACACCAGCCACAACCTCGAATCCCAGTTCCACTCCTGACCTTACCCTAACCCCAGTCTCACTGGAGCTGAGTTTTGGGGTTGTGGTTAGAATTAGGGCTGGTGTAGGGATCAGTATTAGGGTTAGTGCTAGAACTAGGATTAGGGTGGGTGGCTGGGCTTGTGAACATGGCGTTCTCAGGATCCACAGGCGTTCCCTGCATGCTTCTGGGTGTGTGGAATGGGACTGGCTGTCCCTGACAGAGGAGTGGAGATCTGCATCAGGGTGCCAGCGGGCTCTCGCTGACAGATCCACGATATCCTACAGCTGCAAGATCTAGGCATATCACTGTAAGGTGAAGATGACTAAACTGTGACAAAATGCACATTTACGTACAGCAATGCAGAGAGGCCGGGTTATTTTTATCATTATTCTTTTGCAGAAGTTTTATTTTGCACTGCTTTTATTTTTTTGTGTATTTTGTGTACCCTGTGAGAGCTGTGGTGTGCCCTCTCCAATGCCCGAGCTGTGCTGTTGGCACTGCCAGGCTGGTGGCGTGACAGGAAGACAGTTCCCCTGACGCGTGTGGATTTCTGAACACACGCTGCATTGGCTTTGTCCCTCCTTCTCAGCCCTGAAGGCCAGCAGACCAGTATAAATGAGTAATTCTGTGCATTTTACAAACAGAGATTGCAGCTGCCTCTCTCTGGTAGTAGGACTGGGGAGCTGGGGTGTGAGGATGTCGATGGTTTCATTGTGCTGACAGTCAGCACAGCTGATGCAACAAACCTGCTCACCTTTGATCAAGACTGTGATGTTCGTAAGAAACACCCCCAACACAGTGGCTACCTTGTCCAAGGGAAGCACAGCCCTGTAACACACCTACACTGAGCTATTCCCAAATCGGGGTCCTCAGAGACACCTCTTTGGGTGCACCCCAGAAAGCCTGTGAAGATTCAAATTTGCCTGAAATTTGTGTCTGTCGGTTTTGCAAACTTGACATTCCCACAGATAGTTTTTTTTATTTGCAGCCCTTTGATGCAAATACCCGGTCTTTCATGAATCCTTTGAACATTTGAATGCAAGTTCTCTAGGTGTTCCAGAGCTGGGGATCCTGGAGGGTGCAATTACCCAGGAACAACTACAGAACCCGGATTTCATCTTTTCCTCCCCTCTTTCAGGCTGCAGACTGTCCCGAAGTTTCTGCTGGAAGAGGCGATTGATAGTCGAAGCAGAAGGAAGGACACAAGTGAACCCTCTGGCCAGGGTTCTTTCATGATGAAAATTTCCTCCTGAACAGGGCAGGGCAGGTCTCACTGTACTGTACAGCAAAGTCACCTGAAATAATCTGATTTCACAGAGGAAGGTTAAGTTCTGTGCCCTGCCCAGGAGGAATTCTTCATCATGGTAATAGTTATAAAATCTTGCAGCCTGTGTGCAGTATACTGTACTCTGTTCGTTTGTGCTCTTTATTTCTATTCTGTCTGCAAGAGGTGCAGTTGCAAGTCACTGCAGAAACAGTAAGTGCATTCCACCTGATCGCCATGATATAAACAATTTTGAGGCAGATGGCAATAAGAAATAATACAGTGACAATCTTTGCTATCAGAAAGACAGCTGTTCCATCTGATACAGGACTGTCACACCAGGAGTACAGCTGGTCCAGTGGTTAAGATACAGGGCTGTCACACCAGGAG